CTGCCGGCGGCGGCGGGGAAGGAGGAGAAGGGGAGGCGGGGGACGGGCGGCGCCTAGGGTTTCGCCCCCGGGTTGTAGTTCAAGTTGTGCTTGTAGGGTAGTTGATGTTACCATATCTTCACATAAACCATTCACCAAAGGTCACAAAGAAGCAAGAACACACCAGATGCATGACACGAGTCCTCTAGCCCTTGACACGCGCAATTTCGTCGACGAACCTTTCGAGGTCCCGTTGTGATGACCCCACCACTACGACCGCCTTCACGGCCTTCTCCTTCCACTCCGCTGCCTTCCTCCTCATTGCCACTGCCTTATCCCCGTCGCCCATCAGCTCCTTCACGGCAGCCTCAACCTCTCCCCGCCCGGCCTCGCGCGGCATCTGGACGCCCACACCCCACTCCTCGCACGCGTACCGGCAGTTGGTCACCTGCTCTGAGAAGAAGGGCCAGCACAACATCGGCACGCCAGCGCACAGGCTCTCCAACGTCGAGTTCCAACCACAGTGGCTCAGGAAACCCCCGGTCGCGCGGTGGCCCAGCACCGCCTCCTGGTCGCACCACCCCACCATCAGCCCTCGTCCCGCGACCTCCTCTGCGAACCCATCCGGCACCGGCATCTTGCCATCATCATTGCCGCCGTCGCGCACCATGTCAGGCCGGACAACCCACAGGAATGGGCTGCCAGCGTCGGCTAGCCCTCGAGCGAACTCCACCATCTGGTCCCTCGTCACCACGGTGATGCTCCCGAAGTTGACGTACATCACGGAACCGTCTGCCGCCTGCGCGTCTAGCCACTCGACGCACCGGTCGTCCTCCTTCCACAAGCTCGAGGTGAGTGAGGGGAGGTACGATGGTGGTGAGACCTCCGGGCCGAGGGGCCCGACGACGAAGGTGTTGGGCAGGCGCTCGCGGATTGCGTCCAGCGCGGCGCGCTCGAGGTCGTCGTAGGTGTTGAGGAGGATACCGTCAGCGGCGGGGGCGTCGAGCTCGCATTGCTTGATGTTGATGGTTAGCATCACATCGTCAGCGTTGGTAGTACGGATGAACGTCGGGAAGTCACGTAGGCGGAGGTTGCTGATCATGCCAGTGATCCAGTCCACCGGGGTGTCCAGGTACCCGTTGGTGAAGCAGCTCTCATCTATACGAACGTATGTTAATTAGAATAAAGTTCCAATGTATATCCCACAAAACCAATATTGCAATGTACATAATTATTTTTTAGTTTAAGATGGATGACACTATTGCCTTAACTTCCGCGACATTTTGAATGAAATTATGAATATAATTCCGTTTTTCTGTTACAAAATACCGCGTTGGGCATGGAAATATAATTTTGCAGTCCAAACTCACAATATTTCGCTCACTTAAGTAAGCTCATCCCTAGATTTTGTGTGTGTGGAATATCCCCTTTAGAAATGACATAACAAATTTATTTGCAAGTAAACTTCTAGAACAATATATGTGTAATTAGGTTCAAACTCTAAAGGATGGTACCCTAGAGCGGGTCACTCTGCAATTCATAAATCAACCCACCCATGGTTCAGTAAGCAATCGAAATGTCAACAAGAGTGAATTGCTCCTCACATGATCACACCTCTCCAGCGAGATATCCCCCAATATTGCACGTATGCACTATAGTCCATAAACTAGATTCACGGTTTGATGTCCCACATGAACCATTGTTGTCGCCAAAATTTTGCCATTTCTATTTGCACTGTCGGGCTCTTTGTGATGAGAACTTTGTATGTTTGAAGACATTTTAGTTTTCAGTTCTGGTAGTTACTAGATCTTACCATGTCGGTTCCAATATTGTAGATTTATAGTTGAAGTTCTATCTGATACAATAAAAGGACAAATACTAATCATCTTCCAGTTTTCTCTTGACGTTTCTAATGGCTGACCATCTACCACTTATTTGTTTAATTATCTAGTTGCCTAACTTTATTTTCATTACGTTCGTGTCTACTTGTCAATATCTTAGCTCAATGCAAGGATCAATAGATAGTTTGAATACCTTTACTAATAAAGGGGATGGTAATAATGGTGTTATGTTGAGCCACTCAACTACTCCCTTCGTTCGGAATTACTTGTCGCAGAAATGAATGTATCTAGACGTATTTTAGTTCTAGATACATCCATTTTCAAGACAAGTAATTCCGAACGGAGGGAGTACTATAGAATATCCCATCACGGTCGTAGCAACAAAGAGAGTAAAGGAAACCCGACTGTGTAAGCGCTAATAGTAGCCCGTTCTTTGTAAAAGCAAGTGGGTTCGAGGGAAGAGACAACGACAGAATTGTATGAAATTTTATTCTCTACCACTTGGCATTCAAGTATGAATATTGGCCATCTCTACCGCTAACTATTTTTTATATCAGTATTAAGATGTATCGTGTTATCAATTTGAAATATTGGAACTTTTGGCGGTGCAAGGTGAAAGTGCATGTACTACCACCGGTGCACACATGACAAATGATAAAGGGACTAATGGATCTCTAAGTGTACACATGTTCATACTACAAAAGTTTATTGATTTAACCAATGATTGTGGACCCTTAAAAATTTAAGGATCAAAAAAAGCTTAGAGCTAGAAGGCTAGTGGTATTTTCCTAGTAGTTATAGTGGCGATAATTCAACCTAGAGCCTGGGTTCAAATGAGCCCGGTGAATAGTATCTCAATTTGAAATAGAAAAAAAGTTCAAAAAATTCTAATTTTTTTTGTGGTGCAAGATGCTCCTATGCGTGAACTCCATGTAAATTTTGTGAAGTTTAGACATTCGAGGAGCTCGTGGGAAAAAAGACAAAATCAGGCATAAACAGTGCAATTTTCAAAAGTTTCCCAGACATCCGAAATTTTAGATATAAATAAAAAAAGCATATAACTTGATCAAAGTTTTGACTCATATGTGAACTGAATAGAAATGGAGGGATTGTTGGTCTGGTCGAGTAACCAATGAGCTACGTAGGACGTTCAAACGAGTTACCTTTCGGTCCACTTAAGGTTATTTTACACATGACTCGATTGCGTGTGAAATATAAAAAGCTATAGTCTTGTATTTATACATTATCTTTTTTGAGGTAGCTGACCAAGAAGTTCGATTCTCCTGTTGTTGTCACTATCGTAAAGGCGACTGAAACGTCGGAAGTCTATGATGAAATACATTAATTAGCTAGGTACCAATATATCCAATGAAAGCCGACTTAAATGGTTCATCTTTGAAGCATGACCTTTCCTTTGTCTTTTTGCTCGATGATCATCAGCGAGATTGAACTGGGCACGGATGAAAAACCATCTCTGATCTAGCCAGTAGGCTTTTCAATTTCTTATGTCATTTGTAATTAAGTACTGTACTCCAAATGTGATAGCTATGCTTAGAACAGGTGATATGCTATATGATGAACACAGTTTATTGGATTACCTTTGAATGGCACGTATCCTCGCTTGACAAGCTGATCGAAGTTGAGGTAGCACAGGAAGCCGCAGGCGCTGGGGGTGAAGAAGAGGTACGCCGGCAGCCCCATGTCCTTGGCCGCGTGCACCGCGAACCCCATGGCGCCGTCGGCGACGACGCAGGTGACCGGGGGGACCCCCTCCGTCCTCCCGAGCCTCTCGACGAGCGCCCTGAGGTGGCCAGGACACGCCCGGCGCGTGGCCTCGCACAGCGCCCAGATGTCCTGCGTGGCGTCGTGGTCGGAACGGGGGAGCCCGTCGGGGATCGTCTCGAACCGGAAGCCGTCGGCGGGGGCCGTGACAGCGCCGAGGCCGCGGGAGCGGAGGAGGCGGCCGTGGTTGTGCTCCGTGTGGACGAAGGTGACGTGGAGCCCCCGCGCGTGCAGGGCCTTGGCGAGACGAAGGAACGGGTTCACGTGGCCCTGCGCCGGGTAGGGGAGCAGCAGGATGTGCGGCGTCGTCGTCTTGGCCGGCTTCGAGGACGTCGCCATGGCCATGCTCTTAGTAGCTCTTGTATTTTTTAGCAGACAGTATGAGAAGGAGAATAGATCCGATTGCTTTTGGTTGGATTGGTGCATGTTGCTTCGGTCAGGTTTATTATAGGCTTTGTGTGTATGTGTGGGTCGATGGCGTTGCTGCCCTGCCGATAAGACTGGCTATGAGCCTCTGAACGGTGAGTTGCAACTTAGAAATACACTTTGGTTCCTGGTTGTATATACACCTTATATAAGGATTTTTTAATAATTAAACAGAAAGTCAAATAGTTTAGATTTTTTTTAGAAAAAAACTTGACTTACTTTTGCACTAGTATGTAAATTTCCATGAAATAAAAATCAACACTGACTTCACAGTGAAAAAGACAAAAATTATTTGCTATTATAGGTCACTATTCACACTACTTTGGTCAAAATTTTGTCTTTTTTGAAAAGAAGTCAAGGGGGATTTTCTTTTTGTGAAAATTTTCTCACAAGTACAATGTAAGGTCAAGTTTATTTCAAAAATATTTTCAGAATTTTTTGACTTTTTGTTGAATTAGTAAATTATTTTCCCACGTAGGGTGTATATGTCCCCATAGATCAGAAGTTCCCCTCCCTTATTTCCTTGGCTATGAGCTCTGAATGGTGAGTAGCCACTTATTTTCTTTTAGGGTGTGGAGATTTAACCAAGTCTTAGTCAAGTGATACAACATACAAAGGAAAAAAAATCTAATTATTTTTGCACGAATCTTCATGTAGTCACGATTAAGTCCCAGTCGACTAATAGCAATCCTATTTCTTTTAACGGGGTTGCTAAAACTCAGTCGACTGAGGCTTAATAAAGTCTTAGTTGATGCTATATTCGTAGGATTTCACATGGAAAACCGTGCAATTTCTTTTCTTTTTTTTCTTCCTTTTTATGTGTTGTGTCATTTGACTAAGACTTGATTAAGTCTCAACATAGTCACACCTTTCTTTTAATGCAAACTACCAAAGTGACCTTCACAAATGCGAGGCTTCATCTTGTTGCCTATAAAAATGTTAAGTTATTATTTTTATCTCATGCATGTCTATTTACCCCAACGCTAGGCGGTGCACTTACACTTTTCCTCGGCAGGCACACACACAAACATGCCATCTCTCTGCATGAAACAAGTAGTACTATCTAACACCGTATACAAACAAGAATATAGATGGCATCAGCAACATACAAATATATTATGAATTTTAAAAATTCATTACTTTGAGACCAAGTGTCCAAATCAAATTATGTTTGCACCATTGCATTCTTCCTGACGAGATTGAAATAATATCTCACATGAGCATATTTGATTAATATTTTTGAAAAGCAAATTTGTGCCGCCATCGTGCCTCTCATTAGAGTCGACTCCCTGGCCAAGGAGACGGAGCACCGCAAGGCCGAGTCACAGCTCAAGATCGAGCGCCCCAATGCCGCCTTCATCGCCGAGCTTTTCAAGGACCTGCAACTCATTGCAGAGAACTGCACGTCCTTCCAATCTGTGATGGACGCTTGCACGATCAAGCGCGAGCAAAGCAAGCTCGCCCTCGTCCAGGCCGAGCATAAGGAGATGTTCGATGAGCTCCCGATGGCGAGGAGG